ATATATATATATATATATATATATATATATATATATATATATATATATATATATATATATATATATATATATATATATATATATAAACCAAAAGCTTTTGACACTTGGTCTCACGAACGGAATCACATGTACAGCCGTTTACTTCCTGATAGTCCGGCACTTTATCAAGCTTTTTGTTAATACGGTTTTCTTTGTTTTTTTTTAGGTGGGAATTATCTGTGTAAAGAATCACGGGAAAATAAACGGTATCGGTCACCAGGATCACGCAAGCTGGCCGATATCATCGGTGTAGACACGGGTGGACCAGGAAGTCGACGGCTTGGCGAATGTGGTCATACGCCTGAAGAGTATACGAAGTTCAAGGTTGTCTTTGATGGCAGTGTGCATATTTTGGATTTTTATGGTTGTTACTGGACGTAACCTTAGAAATTTATTCATTATTCATATTTTTCAGGATCTTGTGGAACGAATGTTGACGTTTGATCCACGGGAACGTATCGGGCCGTACGCTGCAGTTAGACATCCCTTTTTTTTGCGTAGAACTGATGAGTGTGTAAGTATGGGTTCTGCTATTGCTTCGCACTCCAGAACCTTGCAGCAACCAGTTACAATATCCAGTAATGTTCAGGTCAATACATCACGTACAGTAAGTCACATTATCGTGTGTAGCAATTTAAGCAGTTTAAAAAACCTCTTAACTTTTCTTCGTCCTCTTTTTTAGCACTTTCAGGTTGCACAGCCTCATTTTATTGAGGAGCACTCGCTCAATCAGATGGATTGCGCTGACTCTAATGCAGTCATAGCTCACCCGCAACATATACAGTTACCGCAGCTTAACCAGGTACTTTTTGTGGTTTTTTTAGGCATATTAGTTTCAAACGCTGTCGATATAAACTATCTTTTTACAAAGAATCATGTATTTTGTTCGAAACTTCAATGTTCCTCAGCACGATTTCTAAGGAAATTTGAAAAATTTTTATTTTTACCCTTTTTTAAGACGTAACGACAAATGATGCGGTCAGTGAGAGAACCAAATAAAAAAGGTTGAACTCGATTAAGATTTGTTGTCCATAGCTGTTGTCCTTATACTTTTCTGCGGTTTCAGGTTGTTGGTCAGCCAAATAATTACCAACAACAAACAGGATCAGCAAATCAAAATTTATTTCAGTAGGTATTATCTGGCAAGTAATGAATGATCTACAAATAACTGAATTTGATTCTTAGATGATTTCATTAAGTTTCTTACAGAATTGCTCAACCTCTCGGTTTGTTACCTCAACAAATGCAACAGGGACCGAATCAAAATCAACAACAGCATCAGTCAAGCATTTCGAATATGTCTAGCACGCAGCATCAATTGCAAGCTCCTCCGCATTTCGTATCTAGCTTGCAGAACTCAATTTGGACATCTCCTGAACAGGGTGACGATACTCGTTATGGGCATCATTCTCAACCTTCGTCAAATCTTCAGCCGTCTCAAAGGGTTAGAGTTCATGTTGTGAATATGGTCGCCATAGATGCCCAGATTTTTTCACAGTATTCTCAGAATTAAGGAGATATGTTCATTAAGTGCACGTGAGAATCTCCTTCTTTATCTGAATCTCCTGAAATTCGTGCCATTTAGTTTTTGCCCATCGTACAATATATGCAGATGTTAGGTATTAATTTTTTCTATCTTTTCATACATAAGTCGCATTTCAGAATTCACTTTTGCCACAAAGTCGCAATCTGAGTTTTGATGGAACAGTAGGTAATGGTCAGGTACCACATCAGAGTCGTATGCATTCCGCATCAAACAGTGCTAGAGCAAATCCAACATCAGTTCTGTTTCCGAATAACTTTACACCGCAAGCCCAACAGCACCAACAAACAACAGCCCAAACTGGTTTAGCATCAAATTCAACAAGCACTGATTTCTCATAATGGTCTTATTTTGTTCCTTTTGTATTCCGCCCTATTTCTGTTTTATTTTAATTGTATATTTGTACCGTTTCAGTGCTTTCAAAATTTATGTTTCAAAACAATTGTACTGGTTTTTCTGTTTTAAGTAATTGCAAACTTGTGATCATTTTATTTTCTATTATCGCATTTTTTATTTCGTAATATCTTCGTACTTTTTATTTCATATATTTTGCTTCCATATTTTTCATAACCGGATTTCGATATGTTCGATTTATTTATACGTTACGCTTTCTTGAGTATTAGACGTTTATGCTTACAAAATTTCTCCTGCAGTGTTCTTGTACTTACCTGTTGCTTAGTATTGCGCAGTTATCCGCAGTTTTATTTACCATCTTATCCATATGTTATTTTGAACTATAATCTTGTATGGAATTATTTATCTGCTAACCTTTTTATGGTTTAATGCATATGCATATCAATTTATGTTGCAATTTTGATTAACGAATGCACGTGCATATTTTCGAATCGCTATTTCAGTTTTAACTTGTAGTCTAATATTCCTTTTTTTGAGGTAGCGAAATATATAGCTTGTATGTCAAATTTTGAAGTTGAAATGTTGTAAATTTTTGTTTAACTGTTACGGGCAAGGCAAGATTATCCCTGTGTCAGTTTGCTTCTTGTATCAGCTTTTTTTTTTCTTCTGAAGCTCCATTGTATATACGATTTCATCAGTTCGATCGCTCCTCATGTTGAAGTATTGTGCTTGACTTTTTGTTTCTATGAATTTTTTTCCTATTTTCAACGCTTTTTTCTAAACATGAGGAGTCAATCATCAACAGCAAGTTTAAAATGTGCGGTTAATTAATAAGCGAATATACTTATATGCAGATGTATGCCCAATACCCATACATCGTGATGATTGATACTATACATATAATATTGATTGATATTATGCACAATATATGATACGTACTGATTGAAAATTCTCTTTATTCTTGAAGGAAGGAAACAGTTCCAGAGAAATTTGCAAAAAAATTTTCGTTGTGCCAAATTGCTTCAAATAACAAATAGAATCGATTACCAGTGAAATAATGATCGATTATTATTTTGATAAGTTACATTGATTGATATGTTGTTACTCTGATCAATTGTGTTTTTAGGTGCTAAATTGCTAACCGTGTTTTTTTTTCTTTTCTTTTTTTTTTTTTTGTAATTGTTCACTTGCATATGCGACTATCCGATACTTTGCGTAGTTCTTCTCTATGTTCTCAAGTCATTCTTCCTGATCTTCCGCCATTCTCTTTTCTGAAATACCTACTGTTTAGATGGTCGAAAGATCCATAGGCTTTCCCTGAATTCCTATTTCATACAGCTTCCTAATTTAGTAAATATCTTATAGAAGCAAAAATCCTGAAAATTGAAACCGGTATGGGATATCTTCAAAATAGTTTCATAACTATTTTACATCATTTTGTTACTAAATAGCTCACATCGTTAAAATATTGTCATTTCCAGAATCGGGGATATGCGTTATCTTTTTAGAAAATTTGAATAAAGTTTGCAAAAGCTAGGATGTTTTTTTTTTCACGTTTTCAGATTGTAATTGTGTGACTTTCTTTGATCTTATGCTGCAAGACATATGATTAAATATCTCAAATTAGTAGAGATTTTGAGTGTTCTTTCGGCTTTTTGATTGTTCAGCAAAGTCTTTGACTCCAAAATGTTACACGAACCACTATATGTGCGCATATTGGCGAGACAGCAAGTTTTTTTTTGCTAGTTTTCGGTTCCGTATGGGAATGAGCAGACGCTATACCATCTACCTTCACATCATTTAGATTCGTAGTTGGCTTCATTTAATTTTTCATTGCTTGGAATGGTAGAAATGCGACTAGCGGTACAGTATCTGACAGGGATGCACAATGGGATATCATCATGTGAGAGTTGGTTCTCATTGATGCATTTTCTCTTAATCATTACGATGTCAACTCATCCCGTTTCTCTTCAGATGTTTGTTTTTGTTATTCAAAAAAGTATATCTGTTCTTACTCATTCATTTCCATATTTCCAATCAACTGGAAAGGATGACTGTTTAATGTTTGAATGGGCCGGGAAATTAACTTTTTTGATCTCAATTCTGTCAAGGATGAAAAATTGGTGTGAATATAAAAACTATGACAAAGTTATGATTGCAAAGTCGTAGCATATTACGATTTCCATGAACTTTTTCTTCTTTCTTTCGTGATTCTTTTCACTGTTGTAAAGGAGCGCGAAAGGGAAGATGAATAGTTTCTTATATTTTTCCACATCATCAATTGGAATAATTCACTGTCTGAGAGGAGTTGTACCTTTTTTCGTTTCTTTATCTATCTCTATGCATTAGTTTCTTTTTTTTCTCAATCGAAATGACAGGTGGGATCCAGGAGCGCCATTTCATCTTATATATAAAGGAGTCATCATTCAAAACAAACTGATATGATCTAAAAGTGAATATGACCTTATGAAAACAGACGAAAGATTTTGGAGCTTATCAAAAAAAAAAAAGGAAAAAGTAGAATTCAGATGAGCGGAGAAAGTTAGCATTTTTGTTGAAAAATGAAGAAATGACATTACAAGTATGACTTGGTTTTATCACTAAATATTTGTGCGGTTGGTTTTGTAATTGAAATCTCAATTGATTCCCGGGAGAAGGAAAATTATTTGGCTGTATTGCAAATGCTAAAAATGCATGGCAAGTATTTAAATCGTATTAAATTATCGAAAATTTTTCTGCTCGTAATGTAAACAACAAATGTTATTAATAATGGATGATGTAATTATGTTTGTTTACCATGTGACAATGTTACTGCGACAAAAAATTATATTTACCATAGCTGCTTTGACATTTGGAAATCCGATCATTTCCTGAAACAATTTTCATTATTTCTAATAATTTTATAGTCATATAAAAATTGAACTTTTCTGTTGGTATTCTTTTCCTAGTTTCTGCCTTTGACTATTGTTAGTAATGAATTGATTATTAAGCATTTGAACCAACATTTCCTTTTCCGGAACACCGATAGTGACTTTTTAGGCGTTATGCCTGCTCGAGAAAATACTCTTGCTAGTTCACCGTTTCTTTCCTTTTGTTCAGTTGTATCAAAACCACCAATAAACATTCCATTGACATATAGCTGTGGTACCGTTCGAATCCCACCAGTTCTGCGTTTGAGATATTCCTGCAAAAAGTGTGCAATTTCAAAAAGTAGCCAGTGTCAAGTCTGCAACAGGTAGATTTTTAAAAGATATGCTTTATTATAACTTTGCGGTGGAGTTTGTATGATAGAATGAAGTCTTCCAACGTTTCATCGGTACTTTGGTTAGCATCAAGTTCCAGTATCTGTTTTGTATAATTTAATCTCTGGATGTTATTTACCTAGCAATCGATGTGATTTTACCAGTAAAAATGTAATGAAGCATCAGATCAACGATTTTTGCAGGAAAGCCACATTTATTTTTAATGAATTTCCTTATGAAGATATAACAAAAGAGGAAGTCAAAAAATTAGAATCTAGAGAATTCATACTTTATTAAATGCTTGCTTAAAGTAAAGTAACTGCGCAACACACAACGTAGCAAAAGGTGTTTCAATTAACAAAATCCTTCTTTTTTAATAGATTTAAAATTAGAGTTTATGTTTATTTTGTTATTTTGCTTATAGAAAGACAGTAAAAATTTTGCAAATTAGGCGAAATTTGTCCTTCAGTTTGTGAATTTCGCAGTTCTGAAATTTCAGAATTTTGAAAATGTTTTTAAATCTTAGTTCATTTTAAAAATATAAAAATAATCATTTTTTTGACACATTGTAATACCTAAAATATCCTTGCACTACTTTTTACTATCTGCTGCAAATTGAAATGATCACTGTAGTTGTCAAGGAGAATAAAGTTTGGTTTGAGAACGATTGCCTCAAACTGTTTCCAGCTATTTATATCATATGGTACTTGCAGTATATATTAACTTCTTCTTATCCAATGCATCAACTACGAAATAGTGGATCGAAATTTTCGATATTTCGTTTCTGGGTCATATTTAAGGAGAGTTTGTTGAAGTTTTCTGTATAATGAAGAATAAATATATCGCACATCATGGTGGGATATGACTGCAAAAAAATACTGCTAAATCATGATTAGATGGGAGTTAATGTTGTCAGAGATATATATCATCGAGTTACTACAACAAAACCATTACTTAGCTTGGATTTGGCTTGGGTTGAGCTTTACTATGAAGCGAAGAATTTAGATATAATGTTTGAGCATAGAAAATAAAACAAAAAAAAACCTCTTTTGTACATACACAGAAAATTTGGAAATTAGTAATGATGCTTACTTCAAAAAACACTAAAAAAATAATAATTGCTTGGAGAAAGCTGTACTTAAGAGTTTGCGTGATATTCAAAAAGTATACACCAATTGCGCAGGAGTATTCTACTGATTATGAGTTTATCAATTTACCGGCAATCGATAGTTGTCGTCAAATATCACTGCTTCAATTCACAACTACGCCAATTTGATCTCATAAAACAATATTCTTTCTATTGAAATTTGTGCAATAACGATTAACCAGTGTGGTGTAATGTTCAAAAGAGGGTTCCTCAGGAAGTTCTTTGATTTAACTTTTCCAATTAGCGGTTTTCACATAGTTTTGTTCCATTTCTTTCTATGCTGACAAACACCTTTTCTCCCAGATGAAGCGAAACGGTAAAATGAAGAACAATAACGTGGACAAAGAAGTAACATAAATTATAAATTGTAGTAATTTGCAATTTATGCTTCCATTTTCCATTACAGATGCTAAGTGCTATTTGATTAGGTACGATTTCCTTCATTATTTGACCAGAAAATGAAAATTTTCCACCCATAATGAAGAATGATAATAGAATGAATCGCTTTCAGCTAAATTAGAGTTCTTTTCAGGTCTTTAGGAAAAACATCATCGATGAAGATAATTTAGACAATTCTATAGACAGTTATTGCAAAAAAATAGTTCCACAAAGAGATGTTTTTGCAAATACTAAAACAATATTTTTTTTTTTTGGAAATTAATTTTGTTTGATGAAATTCAGTACGTATAAAAACACTTTTTTTGAATCTTAGAAATTACCTGAATCAACTGCATATCGGGTTCAAGATTAAGCTCCATAACTTTCTTGTCCTTGATATTATATTTTTCTATTAATTGTTTCAATCTAATGCTGTATGGGCAGTAAGTTTTCGAAAAGAGCACCACTTGGTGGTTTTGTATCATTTTTTCCAAATACCGTTCCACACTATACCTGCGATTTCCACTGATTTGATGGAAGTGTAACTAAAACAAACCCAAAATTATTGTTTTATCAAATGCTATTCAATTTTTATTTATTCACATGAAAAAATATTGAATGAATTAAAAGCTTTGACTACTATCTACAGATAGGCAATCAAAAACTTCGGACTGTATTATTAAATGAGCGGCAATCAAAAAATTTAAGTCGCGAAAAAGTAAAAAAAAAAACTCGAATTCTCATTTTTACGTAATTGCACCACTAGGAATTTCGGATATTCGATATTAAAACAATTCTACAGGAAATGAACAGAAATTCTAGTACTTATGACTGCCCTATGAAACTGAATTAACCTTAGGTAAATTGGCGATATTCGTTATTTGAAAGCTCAAAGTAAGCGTTTTTTGGCTTCACTGAGAAAGAATTTCCTTCGGATTCTTAATATTGATATTTCTCGTTCAAATTCTAGTTTCTTATTTGAATTCTGCCTTTTCAACGAATGTTAAATTTGTAATTTTTAATAACAATTTTATGAATATGTTAAATTATTACCATCATCAGGAAGATTGATAGGAACAATAGTGAATGCATCATGATTCGAAGGACATATGATAATGCTATGTATAAATATGATTAAACAAAAGCAAATCCAAGATTAAGATGAAATTGAGTAATGTTGCACTACAGGGGTAGGTAACGTTCAACCAGTTGTTTTAACGAAAAGCTGTCACTTATCAAAAAGCTCATTTGCTGTCGTATGTGACTTACAGGAACTTCATGATATCACACTCCTGCAGTGGACATTATGATTCTTATAATATTATGTCTGATCTTGAAAACTAAGCATTTTAACATTTTAAACCATTATCAGCTCAGAAAGTACGTAGCCAATGAATTACTAAACTAGCTACAAAAAAATTAGTGGTTGTCTGAGAAGGATAGTATAATTGTAATGGGATCATAAATGATGCGTGACTGCAGCATGCAAGAAGTATAGCTGCAGAGTTAAATGCGTCAACACTAACACTGCTTATATCTGCAAAGGTTACTGTGTCATTCTGAATGTTTAATCTATTTAAATAGTTCAGAAAAGTCGGACATTTTCATTTCATAAACTAATATGGAGTAGTTTCAAAAGACGGGTTGAAAGTGTAATGCGTTTGTCTGCAGTGAAGAGAAAGTGAAATCAAACCTATCATTGCGAATAGTAGAAAGATAGTAGTGCAACATGAGTGGATATTGTAACTGCATCATCATGCAAGTAAATCGGCGCAAACTGGCACGATTAGAAACAAAAAGAAAAAAAGAAGAAACGAGAAGCATCAGTAGACGACGGATAGAGCGACTTTAATCACAAACGGCAGATGACAATAGTTGCGAAGTGTGCAGAAGGAAGAAGAATGAGAGGAAGTCATCGGAAATAGAATTTTTAGAAATTAGCGGTTCATCCGGCTTCCTTCTCATATTTCTCTCCACTCAATCGCCAACATTTAATGTTAATAACCATTATCGGCCAATTTTCCGAATCGCTGTCGTTTTCAACCTAATGCTTCAGTTTCATCTTTCAGATTCTATAATTCTCCAAGCATTTCCGTTGCCTAATGTATTTGAACTGGTTTTTTAATCGTAATTTTTTTTTCAGGAGAAGAGGAAAGTTCACTCATTAATTGTTTTATTCGAGACTACCTATAGCGTCAACAAAGATTAATGAAGCAGGTGAAGTTCCCAGTTTCAAGTAAAAATAATGCAGTCAAATGGGTAAAATATGTCGAGCGTTACAACGAAAATTAAAGTTTGGTCCAGAAAAAGCTGGTATAAACAAGTTGAAAAACAGAACATCATAACACAGGGAAAGTTTTTCCAGTTTTTTTTACTGATTTCAGCTTCAAGTTATTTTCCTTCTTTAGGGGCTGACAAAAAAAAAAGAAAAAACAAATTCATTAATGAAAATTGGGGAAATTAACGCGAAGTAATTCTTCCTGCGTTTTTATCTCTTCGAAATTCTTCGTTTATACTGAAATAAATTAGCTATTAACTGTGTATTTCAATAGTGTTTAGCACGTTGACTTTCACACCTGCCGGCAAATGGAAAGTAGGAACATTTGAAATTATTGTAAGAATATAAATGTCAACACTCGGTATTTTTTTATTGGGCATTTCCTATTTCCGGTATTACAAATTGATGTTTAATGCCCATAAAATCATGAAGGGAAATGCAGACGAGAGTTACAAGCTCAAAGTTGTACACGATATACAAATCAAATTTTCAACCGAATTTCTGAATTTTTGATACTGTTTGCTATTCAGATGTCGTATGTCACAATGAAGTAAGATTTCTAAGTGTTTCTCTCTGTGTTATGCAAATTTCAAAAGTGCTAATCGAGAACATTTAGAATTGTTATTATGTGGACAATTCTCCCAGAAATGTTAAACGGTTTCGTATGACAAAACGTAAACCCATTCTCAAAAAAAAAGTTAGAAAAAAACTTAAGAGAGAAAAAAAACGAAATCATATAGTAAAGCTAAAAATTGAAGAGGAAAACATTTTTACTGGATGGATTTCATAAAAGTAAAGAAATGAAATGTTCAAATTGTTCAAATTTTTCAAACAGTGAAAGTTTGAAATGCTATATAATTCCATGATCGTGTAATCAAGCATTCCTTTATAAACAGATAGCAGTCTTCCCTCCAATTTTATATAACTAAAAAATTTTATAGGAAAGAATTGACATTGAGAAGTCCTTTTATGGCACAGATATAAAAATTTTGTTCCTTCCAAAAAGTACATCAAATATTTAGTAGGAGAAGCTTTTTTTGTGCACATAAATTCTTCATTATCTATTCCTTTTTGCTGCAACGTAATTTTTTTTTTCCTGCGTATATTACAATGTTATTACAACGTATCTGCTCAAAATTAAAAAAAAAAAAAAAATGGTTATGGATGAAATGAAACAAAGAGCGGAGAGCAACAAATCAAGTAATGCGCGAAATGCGAAACAGAAAACGGAAATACCTATTTTCTGTAAGGGAAAATAAAATTTTGTAGTTTGCTTAAATAATGCATAATCGCTTTCTTATTTACTGGAAGCATTTAAATAGAATATTAGTGAAGGATTTTCGCAATAGCCTATTTTTAAATTTTCATGATTTATTAAACTTAAAGTTCAAATCGATACGAATCTGCAACATTTAACATGAAAATGATGGCGGTAAGTGCAAATAAATGACACATTAATATTAAGATTCTGGACTAACGCTGAATAAAATGGCACTATGGATCAATCAAAATCAAGAAGACGCTAATAGCACATACATAATTGGAAAATGTGTCACAAGTTTAAATGCTATAAAGTGTAGTTTAGAAATCTAAAACTACTATTCTTTTTTATTCCTCTGTTGTTGTTTTTTTGGATAGTTTTGCCTCATTCTTTTAAGGGGATGGCGTTTTTGCTACTGTTAACTCGTTTAAAAAAAAAAAAAAAAAAGTTTTCATCAAATGATCTATTGGAAAAAATCATTTCAGCAAAATTTTTATTTTGGAAACTTTCAAGGCCTAGTGTTCTAGAAAAATGTTTTTTTGCTCAATTTAAATAGTGGAAAGCGTTGGAATTATTTGCAGAGTTTTTCGAATGACAATTGCAATGCAATCATATTAACTGTCAAGAAAGTCTTTAAAACCTATCAAATTCAAACATACTCATTGAAATCATTTATTTCGTCCGTCGCGGTTCATCCGTAAATCGTCTTAGCAATTACTTTCATATCATTATCATTCTGTAGTTGATTTTGCAGAGCTAATTTCTTCTCAAATTATTTAAGAAGATCGAAAAAATGAATTTATTTTACTTTTTCTCATTCAAAATTATCATAGCAATTTTACTACACCTTTCAAAGTATATCATTCCCAAAATCTGCTACTCTGCATTGATTTTTACAGAGATGAAAACTGTAACATAATTTATAATGAGAGTGAATTCAATAATAACAAGCTAATGACAAAGAAATTGTTTTTGGGACGCAGATCTTTTCAAAAAAAAAAGTCACGTCGTCAACCAATAATTTTAAGAAAAAGCACGACCACGGAGTCTGTTAGATTATTATGAAAAACAGTGCAAAAAAAAGGCTAATCTCACCAATAAATATGACGAATACAAAAAGCCTTTATTTTAGCTAACTTAGTATGTAATAGATATAAATTTCCAAAATTTTTTCCTATTTTCCATAATTACTGAGAGCCATTAGTATCAGTGTAAAACCAAGCGCTTTTTCATTGTTTGTATTAAGTCGAACACAGGAATTGAAAAGGATTAACAAATTGCAAGTAAAAGAATAAGATTTAGAAGTTAATTTTAACAAATTAAGAACAACATTAACGATGCAATCTGTACGATCATTTGAGATATTCAAAAAGTTAGGTTGAAAATATTTAAATAAAAAGTAAAAGCGTAGATTGTTTCGGTCCTGAGAATTTGTTACTCTTATGCTTTGCCACAGCCTTAGGTTTGAATTGAAATTTAAAAATTAATGCAAAAAGAATGTCTATTTTTGCTGTCTTTTAAAGTTGCTTTTCCTTTTGTTTCATATTTTATCACTCTTAGATTCTTAACAATGCTTCAGTTTTATTGTTATTGTATCACCCTGTATTGTAAGGAACTGCAAAAGATTGCCACCGGTTACACGCACTCCATTTTAAACAAATCATTGTCAGCATATTTTCTCCGCATACATATAAGCATACCAATAACAATTTCAGCGAGCATTCTGCCATTTGTATGTACCACACTGAAGTTGACATTTCCACATCGTAATAAGTCATTACTTTGCGGGAACTAATGACTGAAAACCGTTCCCTGTTTTTATTTTTGTTATTTAATTGAAA